TTTTTTTTTCATAAATATGAAACTGGTGCAAGTTGTCTCATGCAACTTTCATATTTTGTATAATATTTTGTCAATGTTTTCATAAATGTTTTTTTCTTTTAAACATACACTGTAACCATTTTTGAAGTTTTGAATAAAACAAACATTATCGGAGTAAGTTTTACTTAGTAATAGTAAGTTTTACTATTTTAGTCTTTCTACTTCAAACTTGCATTTTCTTTGCTATTTTTAGAGATATCTACTATTAATTGTACTATGAAAATTGTTTCACTACCAAATTATTTTTTTCAGTGTAGCTAAAAAGAGTTAAGTCACCCATAATTTTAAATAAAGATATATATCAAAAGATGATATTTTAAGGCAATATATCATATTCAAATCATCTCTTTTACATCTGTGTCATGTAACAGCAGGTTCCCATATAGTGTGACAACATGCCCCACTACTGGCTATATATCACCACACACAATGAGTAAGAGAAAATCGGCATCCAGAACCGACTTCTCCATCTGTTGTGGTCACTGGGGGGCGTCTTCTGCCCCAAAAAATATCCCTGATAACTTATTTGTGTGTGTGAATTAACATGCTAATTTCATCTACTGTTCAAGTACCCATGCTGTATTGCATCCACGATCTGTGACTGCATATTACACTCCAGCATTAATTGTGGTTGGTATCCACAGGCTCAGTTATTGCTCGGTATTAAAGCAGGCTATCTCAAATGCAGCACAAACACCTTGGGAGAATCCTCAAGGTAATGAGTATAGACAAAATTAGTTGGATGCTACATTATTGTACGATGGGAGCCACATATAAATGAACACATAGACATGTTAAACAACTGCCATTTGAATAAAACTCTTTGTGCATTGTTAAAGGAAAAGTTCACCTGAAATGAAAGTACTTAAAAACTCATTCTCATCTGTTGGAGAACACAAAAGGAGACGTTTTGTAGAAAGTCTGAGCTCCCCTTTTCATTATTAAGATTTCAGTGTTTATTATTATTTATTTTCTTTTTTAAATCTTGCATTGTTATAAATGATAAAAAAATGCTTTATATAAACCGTATGTTTACAATGCTATGGCAGTTCTTTAGAAAGGCAAATAGTACACCTTTTGGATGAATCTTAAGCAATAGTTTTCATTCTTTTGCACTTGTAACATGTTGATTTTCATTGTTTCATGTCTAATCAGTGGATAATTCACATCATTAGTCTGTGAGGGAAGAAAACAGATGGATATGGATGGATCTTTTTGTAATTGTAACATGAGAGGTCTTCAGAGTCATCAAACCTGAATGTCATCTTTCTCATTTGAACATCTCATGTTTCACAGAAACAATTTTCCTACCTGTACATTGTTTTCAACAGAGACAGTTGATTCATGGAGCAGTGTGTTAAATGAAGGCAAGGGAATTTGTTTGATTGGTTCTTTAGCTGTTATTATGAACTTTATATGTCACCTGTCAAAGATGGGTTTGTCAAATGAATGCATCTGCAATTTCTAAAAGTTTACATGTCCTCAGGCTTTTTTGTTTATAATCCTGTGTGTGTATATATATATATATATATATATATATGCAGGAATGCCTTTGTTTTATACAAATGATTTCTCTGCACGTCAAAGCGTCTGAAATCTATAAAAGATTCATTAGTGCTCTATTCCTGCTCCTGTGCTATAAAACATTCATCTCTCTCTCTTTCTGTCTCTCTCTCTTTCACAAAGCAACCCCACAATACCTTTGCCTTTCTGTCTTTGTTTGTTTGTTTATATTCAGTTCAATTAAGCTTCATTTGCATGACTATGGGGGTACAGTAACGTGAAAGTACAGTACAAGAGAAGTTAAATATTTAAAAAATGCACAGCAAATAACAATACTAGATGAATAATTAAAAAAAGATACAGAAAGATAAAGAAAACTTAAAAAATATATTTTAATATAAAAAAAAACATAGGGATCATTCTATGAAACAGGTGCCTTTTCCAGTTTCATGTTAGTGATTCTCATTAATTTTATAATAATGCATGTTTTTTTACTGCATTGTGCCATTTCAAGCTAAACTGAGACATTTTAACATTATACAAAGTATGAAAAAGATGACTTAGCCTTGATGAGGATCTCTTGGTGTCATTATCATATGTATGTATGTGTGTATTTATTTATCGAATAGTTTATTACTAAAAAGGTTGACACAAGCTGGAGACTTTTTCATTTTTTTTTCCCCCATTAAATTTTTGCATCATTTATGTTGATGTGTTTAAAATAATGTTTGGAAAAATGGCCCGTATATTAATCTCTAAGCCGCCCTTACAACTCTCTCTCTCTGCACGCACACACACACACACACACACACACACCCTCTCTCTCTCTCTCTCTCTCTCTCTCTCTCCACACACACACACACCCACACACACACACACACACACACACACACACACACACACACACACGCATTGTGTTTTCATGTTTTATGGGGGACATTCCATAGGCGTAATGACGCGCACGGTGCCACAGCCTCTTTCCGTTCCTCCCGCGCGGCTGCACGGACGCTCGGATCGTTGGAATACTTCTGCTTTCACTGGAAATGTGGCATACAGCCTATTTGGATACATCCCGCCAGTAGTTTATCCCCCCTTCCAGTGTGACTTTCGCCAGCTCTCGGCAGTCCTCCGGGCTGCTCCGTGTCGGCAGTGAGCAGCAGTAGATCTTTGAGTTTGGATGTTACTGATTGTGTCTCTGTCCAAATGACTGAGAAAGGAACCACCGGGAGACGCTGCTCTCCGTCCCGCGCCTGTACGGCGACCGTCGGGTAAAGTTTGAACGGCAGGGATGATAGTGGTTCATCTTCCGTGAGGTTTGCAAATTATTACAATTTACCACAGCGAGGAAAACACCATCTTCTCTAGACCAAAGGGGACCTCTTTCTGGGATTACTCGTTTACTGGATTTATTCGTAAAACATGAAGACTTTAATTGTTGAGGGTAAGTCATGGACGTCATTTTTAAAAAAAGTTATATTTATTGAATTCGCTGTTGTTTATTTATTATACACAGTTTAACTGCCGCATATGCCACGCGCATTCCCAAATGTCTGTCATGGACGAGAAGGGTGTTATGTGCTTGATTCCCGTTACATATTGCAAACATTGAATCGATTTGCTCATATATTCAGAACTCTCCGTAAAAAATACGATAATGTCGTACTGTTGTACGCGACGCGAACGCGACGCTCCGTTTATAACGCGTTTTAGTTTGACGCGTCGCGAACAGACAGTCTGTCCCGTTGAAAACAAGGGAAGAATCACAGTTGCTTTGTCTTGACACGAGCTTAAACGTATTTCTCAACTCGTTAATGTGCGTTCATGAAGGGATGCGCGAGCTTGAGTATCCGACTAGGTTTACGCTGGGTAGTTTGCTCACGGTTGAGGTTGGTTAGTAGTTTTCTACCGGAGAGGAGACTCTTCCCGTTGTTGATGCAGTGATACAGTTGAAGTACATTGTTTTATATTTCATTCCTTTTTTAAATCAATTTTAATTATGCGTCTCATTTTAGACACTAATAAGTGGGAGGTTTCAAAAAAATGCTGTGTTTTGTCAAGTCGTTTAAGTAAATCTGAGTTGTGGGTAAATCTGCGGTCGTGTCTACTTATTTGCAAATGTTATTTTGGGGGGAGTGGCCATTGGCTTTACACCTGAATATGTAATTACAAAGGCCTGGACAATGAATGAGGGTTTATAAGGATTGTAAATAGTTGTTGTTGATAATTGATAGTTGCGTGTGCAGTTCTGTTCATGCTGTTCCGCGTTTAATGTTAGTGTTTTATTTGATGTATTATTATACAATGATCAAATGTGAAATATGTTTGAGCATTTGTTTTCTTACAGTACCAGTATCTGAAGAAAGGGACGCTAATCGAGTATGCTGACTTTAGTCATTAGAATTGAGCATATGTAACTAAAAATGAGTATGTTCAGCTCATAATATATCTGAAATGTATATGCATATCTTGCTGCAAAATAGTAAAATCAAAAAATTTATTTTCAGTGTAATATCCTCTAGTTTTACATGGTATTTATTGATAAACAGGTCAAGGAAAACGTTATTCTATCAAGTTTTATCATAAGAATTCAGTCTAACATATGGTTTGCATTCTACATCAGGTTAATTCAGAAAGGTGCTGTCCATGGTGCTGAAATCAACAACATAAAGACTCAGAGCTGAGTTCAGCTTCCTGTTTTGCTGTTTTCAACCCAAAGAGGACAGCAGAGCTTTATTAGGGCACTGTAGAAAATGGTTGAAAAACATTTGTACTGCATTATCCCTGGACTAATTAGGCTTTAACAAAGCATTGACGATGTTTGTTTAGCGTGTACCTGTGAGCTCGTGAGCAGATCTAACTAAAGATCACATCACAAGATCACAAGAAGCTTTGGGAGGCACTGAAAAGCAGCAGTGCTCCACCCTATACAGCAGTGATTAAATCTGTAAAGCTCTAAGAATGGAAGCAGCCCACTGCACAACTCTCGTCCAGCAAGCGCAATGCACTCTAGATTAGTTCTTTGCCACAATGCAAAAGGTATTGCAGGAATTCAAGTGAAAAAAAGGTTATCTAGTGTTTCATGCATGACCAACGTCTTGTGCGTCTCCTCGCAGTTTGCTTTCTCACAGGAGTTGTGATGTTGTTTTGGATGCCAGATGGACATGTCCTTCTCACTGTTTGGACCCATTGGGCATCCGTGGCCCCTCCCGCCTCACTGAGCTAACCTGATTGAACTGAAAACACATTAAATATTCCATCATAGTGAGACGGAGAGCGTTAAGGATGAGAAAGAGGGGTAGTCTAGTCGTGCAGATGGGTCTGCCAGGGGTCGAGAGAGGGAAGGTGAGGAGGCATCTTCATTTCCGTACTGTGATGTGTGGCGGTATTGATATTTGGATGATAAATGACGTATGTTTTTGTTTTTGCTGTTTGTTTTGATCCTGTAATTAACGCTAGAGCAAGACTGTGTTGAGTGGTGATAGATAGCCCACTCAGAAAGCTTTTACTCTCTCATTTTCTTTGATTTTCTCACTTTTGGCCCTTGTAAGCAGTAGTCAACCATAAAATAATCTGATTGATTTCAAAATGAGTGAACAGTAGCATGTAGTTTACATGACCTCTGTGCTGAAAGGGGGAAAAACCTAGTCATTACAATTTACTCACACTGTAAAAATATTTTTAAACTATGTTTTATGAGAAAATACTATTTCAGTCTTTATACTTAAAAATTTCAAGTTTAGTTCATTGTTACTTGCCGTTTCTTTGTAATTACTTGTGAAAAAAAACTGCCATAAGCCATGTGACTTGTGCAAGTGTGGAGTCATAAACAGAATGATATTTTTATCCACTGAAAATCTTCCCATCTGCTAAAACTCACAATATTCATTTGCACTTGCTTTCACATTCAAATATGGCTCCTTTAGGTGTAACCAACCAGGTTTTACGTTATTTACACCAATGCCATTAGTGCAAGTTTGATGAATGTGCATCTCTTAGGTTATAATCTTACTATACAGTATAGGTAACATTATATAAATCAACACGTAATACGAAAGCAGAAATCTGGTGAACATGGTTGTCTATAGAAAGGGCAGTGAGTTTAGAAGTGTTTCAGTAGGAAAGCATTGTTAACAGAGAGATGTTTGTGTTTTAAGCTTGTAGCTATTGGGTCTGCAGTTTTGCTTGTGTTTGGAGTCAATGTCTGAAGAGCATTTTTTCCCAAGAAGTTTTTGCCTCTGTTTCAGGCAGGCAGCTGTAAAGATTCCTTTTCCTTCCAGTCAGTCGAAAAATTTATTAAAACTGCTGAAAATATTCCAGCCTGCAGCTCTCCAACGCGAAGAGCTAATTCACTGTGGTGAGCTTTTAGTATAAAGCTTTGTCTTATAACTTTCCCTCAGATTGTCACTCTAAACAAGACCCTCTTCAGAACCATCCATATTTATACAGACAGCAAACAAGCCATTTCCACTCCAGTCTCCTGTTATCAGCCAAATAATGTGGATGATCAGAATACATGGCAGAGAGCAGCAGACTCACAGATAGGCTCTGTTGGAGGGAGGCTCATTCTGCTGAGAGGTCTTTCTGATACAGAGCTTCATCTGCTACTCGCAGGTGTGGAAAAAAGGGTATCAGCTGTTATGAAGACGCATGGGTTGACGTAGGATTAATCAGACTAGCTGTGTTCTGGTTAGTTCTGGGATTTAAAAGATCATGGTAGGACTTAGGGATTTTTTTCCAATAGTGTGCAATGACGTGTGCAGTCTGTTTGTTGTCAACAAATCAAATCTGCCTGATATTGCACTGGATTTACAAGTGTTATTTCTTTCCTGTGTTGTGGTTTGAGTCGGAGTTAATTTTTAAATCATTTTAAATGTAAATTTAAAATTCAAATATTTTTATTTTATTTAAAAAAAGTCATTTAATTTAATAGAAGAAAAAAAAATCATAAAACAGTTAAATAGTACTACCTACTATATGTGTGTGTGTAAACATTTAAATCAGTGATATATATATATATATATATATATATATATATATAGTGGTGTGAAAAAGTGTTGGCCCCCTTCGTGATTTCTTATTTTTTTTGCATGTTTGTCACACTTTAATGTTTCAGATCATCAAACACATTTTGCTTTAAAAAGATAATGCAAGTAACTACAAAATGCAGTTTTTAAATGATGATTTAATTTATTAAGGGAAAAAAGCTGTCCAAACCTATGTGGCCCTACGTGAAAAATTAATTGCCCCCTCCTGTTAAATCATGAAAGAACTGCAATTAACCACATTATTTTAGAAAGCTAAGTTAAATTTGACTAGCCACACCCAGGCCTGATTACTACCAGACCTGTTGAATCAAGAACTCACTTAAATAGAACCTGTCTGATAAAGTAAAGCATGCTTAAAGAGCAACACATCATGCCGTGATCTAAAGAAATTCAAGAACAGATGAGAATCAAAACAGTTGACATGTATCAGTCTGGAAAGGATTATAAAGCCATTTCTAAGGCTTTGGGACTCCAGCGAACCATGGTCAGAGCCATTATCCACAAATTGAGAAAACTTGGAACAATGGTGAACCTTCCCAGGAGTTGCCGGCCAACCA